TCTTCTTCTTCTTCTTCTTCTTCTTCTTCTTCTTCTTCTTCTTCTTCCTCTTCCTCTTCCTCTTCCTCTTCCTCCTCCTCCTCCTCCTCTTCCTCATCCTCCTCTTCTTCCTCCTGCTCCTCCTCCTTCTTCCTTCTTCTTCTTCTGAAATGTTTCACGAACTTGCACGCCATCCTTGCACAGGGCCGTACCACTCTTCTCTGTTTTTTTCCAGTTTTAGTACATGTGCTGCTGAAGTGAGCACCCAGGCTTCTAATTTTTAAAATCTCCAACAACACACAAGTTTAGAGACATACATTAAATCGTAGCAGACTTCTGGCTGATGCTCAGGAAATCGAGAAACACAAGTCTGACCTGGCACTCTAGGTCCCCAAGAGCCTCAAAGACCCTCCTGACTGGATCCCTCCTCTTAATCCCTCTGGGCCTTCCTGCTGCTCCCGCTGGGACTTACTCCCTGACCTGGGGTTTCCATGAGTTTCAGACCTTTCAACCTCCAGGGCTCCTCCCCTCCACCTCTCAGTCCTTCACACATCCCAGAAGACTCAGCATTCATTGCCTTGGTGGGTTCACACTCCCATCGTAGGAAAAAGGATTGGAGAATACCCACATAACACACTCTCTAGGGCAGTGGTTCTCAACCTTCCTAACACTGCGACCCTTTAATACAGCTCCTCATGTTGAGGTGACCCCACCCCACCATAAAATTACTGAATTGCTGCTTCATAACTGTAATTTTCTACTGTTTGAATCGTTCTGTAAATATCTGATACGTGACCTTAAAGGCGTTGGGACCCCCAGGTCAAGAACCACTAATCTAGGGATTTTTTTTTTCTCTTCAGACGAGGATATTAACTCAAAGGAGAAAGGGAGAGAGGAAGGCGGGATTGTTATGGAGTTTATCTGTATGATAGAGTTAGTGATGAGTTCCCTAGTAGACCAGGAAAAAGAGAAAGTAGCAGAGACCTCATGAATCATGGCATTCACAAAGTAAGACTAAGCCAGCTGAGGGAGAGAAGCCAGGCTCTTCTCAGCCCAGAGGTCTGACTCTGGGTGGAGTTTAATAAACGGGTCAAAGGAAGAATCCTGTATGGCTTACGGGAGTCATACAGTTGTATCTGGATGGACCCCCAGGCTTGTCTGGGGGAAAGTATCTATAGACACACATGTTCTTCCTCCACTAAACTCTCCTCTGAGAATTCGTTGTTTTAATGAACCTTTTGGGCAAAGAGAATACGGCAGGGATTTGAGTCTGTCCTGAAATTGGCTCTTCCTTGAAACAGCGAGGGCAGAGGCCTAGGCTCCAGGGACATCCCACGAAACATTAGCCCAGATCCAGCACCTTCCACTGGCTCTCAGAACCAGGACATCCTTCAGGAAGCCCGAGTCCCTCTGTTGGGCATCCCTCCAAAACAAGGCTTTGCCAGTCAGCTGGTTCTTTCATGAAGCTTGCCCCACCTGCCTCAAGGGCTACATGGACACAGGAGGGCTGTGTGACATGTTATAAACCACACAGCAAGGGGACTGGACACGTGGTTCAGTTGGTAAGCACTTGCTTAGGATCCACGAAGCCCTGGGTTTCATTCCTAGTACCCAATAAACTAGGTTCTACAGGGGTGGCTCTGCCTAGTGGAGATTTCCCATCAAGCTCTGGGCTCTTGTCATCCATACACTAGGCCAAGTGTATGGACAGACCGTCTGTGTCTACAGGGTCAAACCGTCTGCGTCTACAAGGTCAGACCGTCTGCGTCTACAGGGTCAGACTGCCTGCATCTACAGGGTCAGACCGTCTGCGTCTACAGGGTCAGACTGTCTGTGTCTACGGAGTCAGACTGTCTGCGTCTACAAGGTCAGACCGTCTGCGTCTACAGGCTCAGGACAAATCCACAAACTTCGCCAGTGTCACCAGCTACTCCTGATTCGTCTCGTTGTGCTGATTAATATTGATGATCAGCCTGTCTGGGAGGTGTTAGCTAGATCAATAGATAAACTCAAAAAACTCACTCAGAGTGTAGATGTCACTGTTCCTGGAGCTAGAGTGCCAGACTCAATAAAAATGAGAAAGTGAGCTGAGTTTGTACTATCCTCCTCAGCCTCCTCACACAGATGCCACATGACAGCTACCTCGCCTTTCTATGTGCCTGCCCGGCTATGCCTGCCCGGCTATGCCTGCCCGGCTATGCCTGCCCGGCTATGCCTGCCCGGCTATGACGGAATTTACCCTCAAAGTGGGAGCTGAGAGAACGCCTCTCTTTCTTCTCTTTTTGCTTTTCTGTTGCTATTGTTTGGTTTGGATTTGTTTTTTGTTTTTCCAAGACAGGGTTTCTCTGTGTAGCCCTGGCTGTCCTAGAACTTGCTCTGTAGACCAGGCTGGCCTCGAATTCACAGAGATCCCCTTACCTCCGCCTCCCGAGTGCTGGGATTAAAGGCATGTGCCACCATGCCGGACTGAGATTCCCTTTCTTCAGGGGTGTCTTGTTAAGTATTTGCTCGTAGCAACCAGGAGAGTAACTGATGCACTCAGTCGTTGTAACCGTGGGCAACCATAGTGTCTTTGTTTCATTCCCGCCATAATTACTGACATCAAACACCCTCAGACCCCTCGTCACACATGTTACATGTCATGTCATGATATCCAGACTACAGAATGCCCAGGGAAGGGTTCAGGGAGATTTGGGGTTCAGACAGCTGAGCCCTTCCAGATGAAAAATAAAACAATATGAGCACAAGGCCGTCAACGCCAACTGTGTGGCAACCCCAGCTGTCAGACTGAAGAGGGTCCTGTGCAGGACCACATGTCACCTTCAAGGATGCATCCCACCTGAGCTGAAGCTGCCAAGGGGCAGAGATCACGAGACAGAGTCTCTGCTTAGAAGATTATTTTCCTGGGAGGTGACTGAGTGAGGGGCTGGCACACAAGGCCACATGACAGTCTTGTGGTGTTCCTTGACAGCCCTAGTGTGGGGGTGACATCCGGTGCATGGATAAGCCCACGTGACTGGCGTTTCTGTGTGATGTGATGTGCTCACAGGTGTTGCTTATTGGCATAGATAAACCGTTTATCAGTTTGTGGCTCCTGGTGTCCTGGCAGATGGCAGCTGTTTGCTTAGATAAACAAGGCGGAGTCCTGCTGTCTTGGCACCTGCACTCAACATGGAGTAACTCACGCCAAACCGCTACTTTGTAAACCACAATAATCCAGAGCAAAACCAGGCTGAAGCCTTCATGCCATACCCCATGATGTACCCAGAGCAAAACCAGGCTGAAGCTACTACGCCATACCCCATGATGTACCCAGAACAAAACCAGGCTGAAGCCTCCATGCTGTATACCAGGATGTAAGCCAGAGCAGGCACAGTCTGAAAGCCACCACGCTGCACACCATGACGTAATCCAGAGCAGGCACAGTCCATTGTCCTCACCTGCTCCCCATTTCTCTCTCCCATCTAACCTAAGCAAGATAGTGATCCCCAAACCCCATTGCACAAGTGGTTCCTCCCCTTTTCCAGAGCCCACCCACCATCTATCCAGCAGCCATTTCTTGGGCACCTGCTTTGATCCAGACCAGAGTTGGTGAGGGGGAGCTGGTGACAGCCTGATTTCAGGGTGTGTCTGTGTGTGTGTGTGTGTCGCATGGGGAGCTGGAGTAAGAATACTGGGACAGCTCTGCGGATGTGGTGTTTATATGCACACGCGTGTGTACCTGTGAAGGGCAGGAATGGGTGTTGGCTGTCTTCCCCCGTCACTCTCTGACTTAGTTTTTGAGACAGGGTCTCCACCTGAAGTCACTGATATGCTAATTAGTCTTCATGCTCAAGGTATGGGCTGTGTCAGCTTCCCAGTGCTGAGACGACAGTCGGTGCTGCTGGGTCTGGCTTTTTACACGGGTACTGGGGACCTGAACTCCGGTCCTCATGCTTGTGTGGCAACCGCTGTGTCAGCTGAGCCATCTCCGCAGCCCTCTACTAGGACTTTAAAAGAATTGTTTTGATTTGTGTTTTATGGGTATAAGTGCATGCCATCTCTGTGTGTATGTGTGTGTGTGCGTGCACATGGGGCCAGGATAACATAATGGGCTTACTCTCATGTTAGAGGGCATGGCTGTCCCTAAGGGTGTTTGATCCCTTCATCTCCCAAGACAACATCTTAGCAATAGCTCTCTTTCTTCTTCCCGCACTGCCCTCCAAGTCATTGGCTTTATCTGGAGTCCAACCTTTCTGGTTACAGCAAGAAGGCTCAAAGACACCGATCCCCAGGGGCCTTAGACCAGGTTGTCTAGGCACCAGCCATGTACGCCATCTCCCCTAATAGCCTTGACCTGGCTGTGTCCTGAGTTTCAAAGGGTCAGCCTGGAGAGCCACAGAGAGCATTCCAATGACCGGGCCATGCCAAGAGCATCAGAAGAGGAAGCTTAGACGTAACCTGAAGTCCAAAGGCTCCACAAACGGAAGAACTGAAGGTCAGGATCAGGACTAAGCCTGGTAGAGACTCCTCTCCTACCCATAGTCCCCATGACTCTTGCAGGAGCCTGAGCTCAGCAGATCCTCTAAGAAAGCCATGAATGACTTGGCAGTGCTAAGAAGGCCCAGAGCCCAGAGAGGGTGAGTAGTTAAGTCAAGGCCACACAGCACATTCCCTTTCTCCCATACCCGAGGAGAGGAGGGCACAAGGCAGAGGATGAAGAATGAAGGACAGTAGTAGGGCAGGCAGAACCAACAGGGGACAGAGTGTGAGCCTGAGAACCCATGTCCCTTGGCTGCCTCAGCCTTCTGGGGGGTGCTTTGGACCCATCTGTCTGCGGGACTATTAGGAACACCAGCTATACACCTGACCCAAGTATCAGGGCCTTACACCATGGCCTTCCAGCACTTCCCAGGGAGCTGGCCGTGAACACACAAAATGCATGCTGGCCCCTCACGGTTCACCTCCTCCAGGAAGCCTTCCCAGCTGTCCCTGGCTCTCAGGAAGGGTCCGTCCTTGAATCCACACACATCGTCTCTACTATGGAAAACTTGACTTCAGCCCCATTCCCTTGCCATTCTGCCAAGATTCATGTTCCACGGATGGACAGGGACAGGACCAGCTCAGAGGAAGCTGGCTCGTGTGAAGACTTAAACTCGGGTCTTGGGAGACCGAAACGGAAGCACTATACCTTGCAGGCTAAGGCTTCTGTGTGCGATCAAGACAGTTAAGAATTAGTTCCTGTTTGTCCTTGTGTGAGTCCTTGCAAGTCAGTTAGGGATACAT